GACGTAACAGTAGATTTATTCTTAAGAACTTCTGGTATGCCTATTTAACGTTTTGGTCACTCTCCCTATTGTCACTGGAAATTAAATCTTTGGTGTAGTAATTGCCATGTAGTGCAGAGGGTTTTCCTGATCATAGACTCTGAAGGCTGTTTGAAACTAGCCTCACCTTAAATTCATGTAAGAACACGAAGTCAGTTCCCAGTTTGCACTCTTCCTCAATGTAAATTACTCACACATTATGAAGTGTAGATTTGGTTCCTACTGTAAGTGTAACTCTCAACTTTCCTCTTGCTGAAAAGTTATATCCAACTGCTGTTTCCATTAAAATCAATTCCATCACTAACTGGAAAGCTTTCTTTAAGGTTCTACACCTACTTATTTCAACCTAGTTCTCATGATTATTGGCAAATTGTCAATAAATCCATCATCGTACTTAGGTTATCCAAGTAAGATAATTGTGTAAGTCTTTCTAAATCTTTCGCAAGTTAAGCTAAAGATTCTTCTTTCCTCCATATCCTGCTCTAGAATTTTGCTCAGGATACTTTTTTTCTGCTACTCCACATCTGTTAGCTAAAGAATACATCAAAGTTTGGTAGTTGTTAAAGCTCTCAGCTTAATGTTGTTAAAGCTGTTCCTTTTAAATGAATGACAATTCTACTCATTAAACTTAGAAATGACCTCAAACTGAACCTGGTATGTATCCCACCGTATCTTCCCATCACAGTCTGTTGGTTTCTCAATTGGATAATGTTGTTGAATTGACCATCTAAATTCTAGACCTGATTTGGTATATACATGGTTGGAGTAGTCCAGGAAGCTATTCCAGTAACAAATGGTACATAATTAGTGGCAATAAATGTAGACCAAGTAGGTTCTCATGTCTCATATTTAGTAGTTAGTGGTATTTAAATTGGAATTCTAGTTTAGGTGAAGAAAAAGGCATGGCTAGTCATTTTACAATTTATTTTTCAAATGTTATATTCTGTCATTGATGTTCTTTCTAGCTCATAGACCTTGTAGTTAAAATAGTTATTTAAGTCTTCAATTTTGTAATTCGTTGATGTCTTTCTGCATTTTTTAAAACTTATTGTTGTAATCTCCAATAGCTTTGTCCATTTTGCCCTAAGTCATATCTTTGTTCTTGATTCTTCTGTAAATAATTCGTCTCTTTCTTATAACTCTTTTCTTAAATACATGTCTCGTTCTTCTAATTTAAGGCGTCTTTCTTTTAGATCTTCTTTGATTTCCTGTTTCATTCTTGTATTTTTAGTTTCTGCCTTTTAACTTTTGTTCCTCCTTTCATTTGCTGTTCCTTTCTTCTTGACCTTCTTTTTACTGATTGATCATCTCTAATAAAGTTTCAATCTTGATATTTAGACAAATTTCTATTTTATTTACACCAAAATAAACCTACTTCTGACATTAATGTTGTAATATGTTCTATGTTTTGACTAATGTTTGTTTCTTTGCCAACTCTTGGGCTACTCTTTTACTAACGAATGCTGGGATTGACCGTCACATTGTAACGCCCCCACGGCTGAAAGGGCGAGCATGTTTGGTGTGACGGGGATTCGAACCCGCGACCCTCAGATTACGAGTCGAGCGCCCTAACCACCTGGCCATGCCGGGCCATTTGACTAATGTAATATGTTCTACTGTTTGACTAATGCTACGTATGCCAAACTTACTCAGCTTAGATCGATAAACAGACAGACTAACACACTGAGGAACAGAATAGAATATTTTGTTTGTTCGACACGACGTGTAAGTTAATGTTTATTATTGATATTACATGTGTATATAAGTTAATGTTAAGAAAGTGTTTTATGTATTTTCGTTTATCAAAGTTTATCATTGCACTGTTTATTATTTCGGATTTCTATAAATAGTTTCATCCCTCTCACTCAAAATTTATCTTAATCCATCTGAAATGTTGCTGGTCAACAATCGCAGTTGTGTTTTCCAGCAAGTGTTGCATCAGCTCCCTTTTACTCATATCTGTTTCCAGAAAATCTAACGTATACCGAAAGCAATCAACTAAAACATCTGACCAATCACAGCTTTCTGTCTCTTCGTTAAATGCCTTACTGGCTAGCGTACAATCAACTAAAACATCTGACCAATCACAGCTTCCTGTCTCTTCGATAAATGCCTTACTGGCTAGCGTACAATCAACTAAAACATCTGACCAATCACAATCTCCTGTCTCTTCGTTAAATGCCTTACTGGCTAGCGTACAATCAACTTCGTAACTTTCTTGTATTCCCACGTGAGTCTTTGCACTCGTTATGCCATCCAGTGACTGATTCATTTTGTGCTGAACATCGATGACTTTGTGTAGTTTCGTATGAATGTGTCACATATTTACATACAGTTCAGGTTATAATATTCACACATCATCACATACAGTCGTAGTAATTGTCCCTTTACTTCAGGCAAGTGCGCTGTTACCATAGTAACATACACAGACTACTTCTGTTACCTAAGCGACGTTATTTACAATTCAATAACGTGCTGCCATCTTTAAGTGGTGCAACTCAACAGTTTTGTTAGCCTTGCGAAATTAACATTTCGTGGCAGAGTTAAATTATTCAGTCTAAAACTCCATAACTCAGTAATGTTAGTCACGCTGTCTTTGCTTTATATATCAATTGATTCCCTTGCTAAAACTGGTTAACTACAGACTCGACCGTTCTGCCAGCCGCACTTAACACATCTCGATCCACTCCCGTTGAGTGGCTTCACAGAAAAGTACACATGAACAACTCCAGTCTGTAAACTGTCTCCAAAAACTGTAAAATTATTCAATTCAATTGGCTTCCGTGCAGAACACAGCCATCCACTATCAAGTGTACGAGCAAGTCGTTACCGATCGGAAACCTTGAGGTCATTTCATAAAATCCAAAGCTACTCTGATGAAGGTCGCTATCTTCAGAGGAAAAACATTCAGAACTTCGAAAAGCAAGGGATCACAGCACCCTTTCAGTCTTCTTTCCTAGGTCGTATATACTATTCAGATTGTTGTCGATCATTCCCATAGAAAAATAAATGGTGGTTGTCAGCTTAAGGTACAATCTGACTCATTAGTTGAAATGATTGCTGTTTACGTTTATATAGTATGTCCAACTTTACATAAATCTTTTCCACGAGAAGGTGAATGTGATACCGTAGATGAATGACCCAGAAGAGTAGGCAAGTAAGATGAAAGGAATTTATTTAATTTTTTGACCAATGTTCTACGTTAAAACTACATACTGTTATAGGTACGAAAATTTCGGAAAGTTTTCTGTTAAATAACGGGGTAGAAACACATAATTTGCTACATTATATACCCATATTGAAAAGGAAAGAATATACACGGCGAAGAAGTTATGGCATGTGTATTGCACCAACAAGCTCTTCTATAAATGTTATTTGTGGTAATAGAATAGGGGGCTTCAAATCCACTCTTGTCTTCTTATCCATAAGATTTGATTAAAGGCACGTGCAGTATAATTTTACTTACTTAGAGCTCAATTTGTAAATTATGAAAATTAGTAACGATAGCTTGACAAATAAGAAATGATATTTCCGCTTTAGTTCAAGCATAATTAAATTCCAATTTGGGGGTGATTCTGGTAAGGAATGAACTTTGTTCTTGAACCGAGACATTTCGTCAAAACAGAAATGTAAAGTCATAAATAACTTTCAATTGTGGGTTTGTGTTATTCTAATTATTTTTCAGCGTACATTAGAATATTTTATATACCGATAGTAAATTACATTGTACTGCAGGAAAGTTATTTGGTGTGGTTAGTTTTGAATTTCGCGCAAAGCTACACGAGGGCTACCTGTGCTAGCCGTCCCTAAATAGCAGTGCAAGACTAGAGAGAAGGCAACTAGTCATCACCACCCACTGCCAACTCTTTTACCAACGAATAGTGGGATTGACCGTCACATTATAATGCCCCCACGGCTGAAACGTCGAGCATGTTTGGTGAGACGGGGATTCGAACCCGCGACCCTCAGATTGCGAGTCGAGCGCCCTTACCACCTGGCCATACCAGACCGAGCAGGAAACGTATTTGGTGTGGTTAGTTTTATAATATCAGTATTAATAAACTGCCAAACATAGAACTAATTGACAAGGTTAATTTCAGCTCTTTATGACTTTAACTACATGGGAATGGCTGGGATCTTAATTAAAAACAGAGTAACAAGATTAAGTCACTATTGTATAGAAATGTTCTATAATAGTGATGTCAAGTTCGTCAATTATGATGTCAATAAAAGAAGTTACTACCTTTCATACAACTAACTGCAGTGGCGTAGCCAGGTTTTCCATTGGGGGGGGGGGAGGGGGTCCAATAAATTAAAAAAAGCTGAAATTGATGTAAATTTTTAATAAAATAGTCATTAAAACAAATCAAATCAAATGTAATAGTGTTTATAGACGTTTTATAGTTTTTTTATTAAATGATACAAAACGAGGTTATTACGTATAAAAGGTGAAAAAATAATAAGTGATTAATATGCTTAAATCCTCTCCCCCCGGCTAGCCTCTGATTGGTTGCGGAGAACAAGTGGTTTAAGACTCTAGACACTGTGGGTTCCCATTTATTGAATGATTATAATTTCTAAGCCTAATAGGCTGCCTTCGATTGTTTCAGCCTGAACTGTTATGAATTTTATAAAATATTTACACATATATAAACGTTTCCGAAAATGAGTCAGTATTCTGACACAATGACCAAGAAATAGGGCTGTTGAATAGCAGTTGAAAGTAACTTCATCTTCAAAAAATTTTCCAATTTTCTTTATTAATAATACTTGCTTTAAAAACGTCCTCCGTGATGTGTCTCTAGTTCACGTGCAAAAGATCAGTGTTATATATTTTAACAGTATAAGTTAGCACTAACGGCCATTATTTATGTAATAATATTAATGTTTCATATGTAACATTTGTGTTAGATAAGAAATGTAGTGATTCTGTTCTCTTAGACAGCATTATCATAATGTCATCATGATGTTGTTCTGTTAAACAGGAAATTTAATATCTTCTTAAACAATAAAAGTTGTGTAAAGATTACGATTCTATCCCCTTATATAGTAAACGTCACACCATTAGACAATAAATTTACTGATATCATCCTGTTACCCATTAATGTATTATAATATTTATAACGATAAAACATTCTATAAACAAAAAAATTGCAAATTGTGGTAAGGCCTTAGAATTGTAATTGTTATGTGAAAGCCTTTTGTGATTATAATGAAGTATATTTCTGATAATTAGGCTTATTTGATTTCTTGAACCTTTACGATCTTTATTCGGTTCTTAATTTTATTTTCGAGAAGATTAGTGTAAAATAGTATTTCACTCAAATCACATCTGCCTTATCATTGCACATCATGTCCACCATATCCATTGTTGACAATGAAGAGAATGGCTGTATTGCTGCACGTTCTACAAGAATATGCGGCTCGGCATGGCCAGGTGGTTAGGACGCTCGACTCGCAATCTGCGGGTTCGCATCCTCATCCCACCAAATATGCTCGCCCTTTCAGCCATGGAGGCGTTATAATGTGACGGTCAATCCCACTATTCGTTGGTAAAAGAGTAGCCTAAAAGTTGGCGGTGGGTGGTGATGGCTAGCTGCCTTCTCTCTAGTCTTACAGGGACGGCTAGCGCAGATAGCCCTCGTGTAGCTTTGCGCAAAATTCAAAAAACAAACAAGAATATGAAAGCCAGTGTCCTCTGATGATAGACCAGATGATATGTCGAGTTTAAGCCAATGAAAATAAAAAAAAGTCTCTTGGTCGTTATGGGTAAATCTGATGTATGTCATTAAGTAGGAAACATTAAAACCTAAACATTCTTGTTCCGGATCTAGAGTGTATTGGTTAGTTGAAATAGATTTTGAGAAAGAAAGTTAATCTAATGAACTCACTAATCCACTAACGGTGACCAGCCAGTGTCCACGAGATTGTACACGCTGTGTTTTGTGTCTTTGATTAAATTTGATTTGATTAAGTTACAAATCTTATCCAGTCCATTTATTTCTTTACTCAAACTCAGATAGTTTTAGCTAAGTTCAGTATCGCTTCATAACATATCCTGGAGATCCTCCTGTTATACGGTGACCCTACATAATAATATTTGACGAAATCAGTTTTACTTGAAAATACATCAGGTTATTATAAAAACTGTAGTATGTATTGTTGATACAAAGGTCAGTACTATGTTTAGAACGATGGTTTAGTAAGCTAAAACGTAACGAAGCACTAACGTAAAATAAAATAAATGATATAAGAGTGATGTTATATAACTAACAGTGAGGTAGGGGGGGAATAAAACGTTTATGTTGTCTTACAGGGGAAGAGTAGACTCATATGAACGTCCTGGTAGTTTAAAGCTAATGTACAAAATATATACTCGGATTTAAAACCACTGTTGGTACGTATAGTGTTGGCTAATATCGTTCTTGTACGCATGAAGCTAAGTCCATTGTTGATGCATTGTTGCTAATGTCTTAGTTTTATAAATATCAGCCAATGTCTTCAATGAACAAACAATTAGGAAAAACTACAGAACTTTAGATAAAATTGTATGAATTACTTTTTACGTATAAAAAAAATTAAATATAGAAATATCGGTCACGAAATCAATTCAATGTAAAAAGTATGATACAGAAAATTAGGTGAAGTTTGAACTTTCTGAACTGCCAGAGCAGTTTTATTTTTAATATTAAGCCTTTTTCTTTCTGTTCAACGATAGAGGGAGGATGTCAGATATTACGAAAACTTCCAACGAATATTGTAACTTTCTTTATTAGCCTAAAAACCGCCAACTTCCATTACAGAAGGCCCAGTATGGCCAGGTGGTTAGGGCACTCGACTCGCAATCTTCGGGTTCG